ATTTAATTAGTACGTACTTGAAAAAAGTATATAAAACACGGCGGCGAATGTTTATAAATTGCCTAGCTTACAATCTACTGTGACAGTGTACAGTGAAATGCGATAATATGTGCTTTCTCCGCCTGGTCTATAATGTAACAGTTCTGGGGACTTTTTTCTGAATCCTATAGGTTAGGTTAGTAACATGTTTAAGGGCCAGTATACAGGGTGTTTCTTTTAACTTGAGACAGCTCAATATCTCGAGAAATACGCATTTTACGAAAAAATGTCTTAAATAAAAGGTTAATGTGACCAAAGGGCACATTATTTGGTGCTACCGATAGCCACCCCCTACCCCTTCTTAAGGGTGAAACGGGGGGTAACTTTGGAAAATCAAATGGGATGACCCGATTTCTTTCACAGATTTTGGTAGTACATAAAAAAATTAATAACTTTTATTTAAAACTTTTTTTTAATTTATTAACAAATGAGGCTGTAATTAAAAATTTAAGAAAAATGGGTTTCCCTGTTAAATGTATTATTTGATTGACAGTTTTCAAATTTGAACACGATTTAAGTTCGCGATTAGCAGAAGCAATTTTCGAATAGAAAATCAAAGAAGCCATGGACTATTTATCGGTGCAGGAGAAAATCGAGGCTGCAAGGATGTTGCTGTGGGCCTTTATGCTGAACGTTTTCCCGACGGGCCTCGTTCCCGTGCCACCATTTATCGCGTTGTCAAGCAATTTACAACTGAAGGCAGTATAAAACAAAAAAAAGACTCGTAGAGCTACTGTTACAGGTGAAGAAAACAATCAAATTGCCGTGTTGGCCTCAGTAGCTTACAACCCCCACGTGAGCACCCGTGCAATATCGCGCGACTCAGGGATTGCTCTTACAAGTGTGTGGAGGATCTTGAAACGCCAAAAGTTCCATCCCTATCACATCTCCCTGCATCAGGAGCTCCATGGGGATCATTTCAACAATCGTATGGCGTTTTGCAATTGGGCACAGGCGCAACTCCAACAAGATCCCGAGTTTTTTTCCCGAGTCCTATTTTCTGACGAATCCACCTTCACCATGCATAATATGCATTACTGGAGTGTGAAAAACCCACGCTGGCTTCGTCAAGTGGAGTACCAGCGTCCCTGGTCGGTAAACGTTTGGTGCGGTACCTTTGGCGAACTATTAATCGTACCCTTCTTTATTGACGGTACATTATATGGCGAAAAGTACCGGAATTTTCTAGAAAACGATCTGCCGGACCTTTTGGAGAATGTACCACTAGCACGGCTCCAAAACATGTGGTACCAGCATGATGGTTGTCCAGAGGTGTTGGATCGGGAGTTCAATGGCCGGTGGATCGGTAGACGTGGTCCAGTAAGTTGGCCTGCTCGATCACCTGATCTTACGCCACCAGACTTCTTCATGTGGGGTTACTTAAAGGAAAAGGTTTACGCTGCAATTCCTACAACTCGGGAGGACATGGTGGAGCGGATCAGGAACGCCTGTGCGGCGATACCGCCCGACATGTTGGCGCGTTGTGTGCCAGAATTCAATACCCGCATTCAAAAATGTGTTGAAATGGAAGGACGGCATTTTGAACATTTGTTATAAATTGTTTTCAGAGCCGACTATTGTTGATTTAATGTTAATTTTTGTTTTTCAAACGTTTCAAATAATACATTTTACAAGGAAACTCATTTTTCTTAAATTTTGAATTACAGCGCCATCTGTTGATAAATTGAAAGAAAGTTTCAAATAAAATTTATTCATTTTTTATGTACTACTAAAATCTGTAAAAAAATTTGGGTCATTCCATTTGACTTTCCAAAGTTACCCCCCCTTTCACCCTTAAGGAGGGGTAGGGGGTAGCTGGCGGTAGCACCAAATAATGTCCTCTTTGGTCACATTAACCTTTTATTTAAGACATTTTTCCGTAAAATGCCTATTTCTCGAGATATTGTTCAGTGACAACAATGGTAACTATGACATTGGAAGTTTCTGAATTTACTATACATTTGTAGTTTTATTTTTAATCCATTCTGTTAGCTCGTATCAAAAGTATAATACATAACTCTAGTAGCAATAACACTGTAGTTTAATTTTCAACTCGTGTGCTTACTTACAACTATACTTATGTAATATACTATATAATTATAACTAAACAATAAATATGTAAATGAAAAACAGCATGTTGTTGAATTGTTTTATAACCTAAGTCGTGCATTTGATACTATTAATCATAGAATATTATTACATAAACTTGAAAATATAGGTGTTGCAAATAAATGGGTAGAATCATACTTATTAGACAGAACCCAAGTAGTATCTGTAAATGGTGAAAAATCGGATATATCCAGAGTAACATTGGGAGTACCTCAAGGATCGATATTGGGGCCACTTCTATTTTTAATATTTATAAATGATTTAAATTTAAATACAAATATAAATGAGCAACTTATTCTGTATGCAGATGATACAAACCTTTTAATTCAAAATAGAAATATTTTAAATTTATACTCTAAAGCATTTTTAAAATCTAATTTATTTAATATATGGTGTGAAGAAAATGGTATATGCGATTTTTACCAAAAAATATTTCACCAGAACCAGTTTTTCGTATTTACTTGGATAGAAAGTTAACACATAAATAATTTAAATACAAAAATAAGTTCTGCTTGCTATTTAAGAGGGTCAGTAACTTTTTCAGTACTGCGAGTTATGTACTTTGGAGTAGTCCAGCTCTAGTCATTTTAACAAAGTTTTTATAATGCAAACAAAGATTCTTAGATTTTTTAGGAAATACAGAATTTGAACTCTTTCCTGTTCATACATATTTAATTTGATATTATATATTTTTGAAAATTCCACACCTTTAATTTTTAACCAATCAAAACGTGTATTTTTGATAGATCACCATGGCAACGGTTGAATTTTAGTGGAAATTTTTTCCTCGTGGGTACCCAACAGCGAATTATACTGGAAATTTTTTGACGTTTATAATGACAGAATATTTTTTTGACAATCTGGTTTTTATTTGTTTACATGATAATTTTGATACATTTCCATTACAAAGTTTAGATGTTTTCTATATTCGTTGGACACCTCCTTTCTTCTTAATGGCGAAAATGCAGGAATTGAAATAAATTAAATGTCTATGTCTAATGAAATATATATAATATTTAGACACTATTCTATTCACCTTTTTTCCATTTAGCACTTTGAGTTTTGAATAGTTAAGATGCAAATATTCGTGAACAATTCAAAACAAATTTTCTTTCTTCAAGAAGGAGCCACAATCCTCTAATAATGCGGGTAAATAAGTCATTGCACGATGATTGATCATTACAGCAGACAATTTCACATTTTTTTACGTCGTGCCGCTTGACAGCTTCAAAATTGAAATAACTTTTAGGTTGGGATTGACTTAGTTGCCATGGTAACTAAATAATCAAGTCGAGGTCAAGTTAAATCAAAAAATAAATTTTAATTATTTAAACACAATTTGGTGTGGAATTTTCTTACCGAATACCACACGAGGTCAAATTAAATCCGGAAATTTTTTCTCCCTCATGAATATTTTTAGAAAATTATCCCTCGTCTTCGACTCGGGATAATTTTCAAAATATTCATGAGCTCGAAAAAATTTCCGGAAATAATTTGACCTCTAGTGGTATTACTAGTGAAAATAAAAAAGACAATTTGACTCATAGTAACATAGTTATTGAACAAAAAGTCAAAATGAGTTAGCTTTGCCACTTTATAGGCTCTCTCTATGTCAAAATTCTTTTATTTACATGGTAAATAAATGTTATAATATAGTTATGTGTATTGCGTCTTATTGTAAATGTTCCAAGCTGTTAAAAAACAAGCTGCAGACTCTGTTTTTAGAGAAATAATACTATTCTGTGGAAGAGTTTCTTAATGATGGAAAACAATATAAATCGATATTTATCACATTTATTTTAAAAAGACAATTTTCAACACGGGGTGCAAGGCCCGAAATTAATTAATTAAGGATTGCTCCCGGCGCATTCGCCATTTTTGCAAAACAATTATTTACCAGTGCACTGCAGTGTCGTGAATAACAATTCGTTCAAGTTAAATAAAATGATAGGACAACTTCGCACAATGGTATAAAATGAAAAAATAAAGTAAAAATTTACACAGTGGCATACACTTAAAATATGGTAGGACAAATTCGCACAGTAGCATAAATTTGCTCCCGGACGTGTCGTAAATGTAATTACATTTTTTTTGACATTCCCTAAGGTCGCAGAGCGGACTCCAAGGGCAGCAAAGTGGCGTCTGAGCGGACCTATTACAGTGGGTTCTCATCTAGTGTGAAAGAGTTTTATCAAGTAGGTAAAGCTCAAAACAATCAATTACTGTAAGATACTTTACACCACAATCCACACAACAAGGTCTGTTCTATCTCATACTAAAAATACAAAAAATCACTGCAACACTGCACAGTTTAACGGCGGCCATTTTTGTTGTTTACAATTTTTGTGCTTTGGGTTTGTGCTCTGTTTATACAGATTTATAATCGTTTTAAACGTTGTGTTTCTCATAGTAAGCCTTAAAAGAGGCCTTAAAGTGCTAAGAACAACATTTTACTCCTATTGTAAAAAATAAACTTTATTCTATCAGGGCTGTCATAAAACTGTCAAATGTCAATTTTAAGGTTAAATTATAACCCACAAATTAACCTTCAAATTGTCATTTGACAGCTCTGATAAAATAAGGTATATTTATTATAAAAGAGAAGTAAATTGGTTGTCCTTAGCACTTAAAGGCCTTATTTGAGGCTTACAAGTGCCTCTGTAAGAAACACAACATTTAAAACAATTATTAAACAGCACAAACCCAAAGCACAAGAATTGTAAACAACAAAAATGGCCGCCGTTAAACTCTATGCAGTGTTGCAGTGATTTTTAGTATTTTTAGCATGATATAGAACAGACCTTGTTGTGTGGATTGTGCTTTACACAACATATTTTAAGGTTTCTTTATATCATTAAAAAGATCTTAAAATTTTTTAAACATATTTATTTATTTTAACACCTACGTTCAGTGATATGCTTTAAAATGTAAAACATAGCTGCAGGATTATCGGCAGGAACCATGTGCCCTGCTCGGTTTACCCAGAAAAACCATAGATTATTGGCTGCTTTGATATATCCTTCGATGTTATCATCAACTACTAAAGGTAATCTTTCTACCACTTTCCAAATCGGAGCACCATCCCAATTTAAATTGTCCAACCATTTTACAGTACCTTAAATATAATTAATCTTTAAGCAATCTATAATTTAATAGTATATTCTGTAACAAGTTTGGAATACGGCAAATTCCTATCGACGTTTTCACAAGAGGGGAATATGCAATTCCAAATGTGTTTTACTTTTTCTACGTTTCCAAAAAATACCATAGATTTAATAATTTAATTTGGACAAAGTGAGGTTGGATCGATCTAAAAGGTAATAATCGGTCTAAAAGATAATACACACATAGATGGCGCCACCAGAGTTTAGCCTTTGTGAACTTATTAAAAAAATCGTTTTAAGTCAGATCTTTCTAGCCTTACTTTCTACTTTTAAAAACCTGACTTGGGTGAACTTATGACTCACCCCTGGTGCCAAACAAAAATATGTAAACTATCCCTGACTGCCAGCTTTATGACTTTCTTATTTGATGTACTTATTTGGGTGGCCATAATCTGTACTTTGAGTTTTCAAAAAACATGTCTAGCAGTCAACCTGTTAATAATTAATAATTGTACGTTTTTGTATCGTTTAACAAATTATAAATAATTTATGCCTTACAAAATTTGTCATTTTTTACGCCAAGCTCAAAGTTTGAAAGCCGATGCGTAGCGGAGGCCTATAATTGAACGAAACACAAAAAGACTCACTTTTCAGACGCATGGGTACAACATTTATTTAATAAAATGTTGTACCCATGCGTCTGAAAAGTGAGTCTTTTTGTGTTTCGTTCAATTATAGGCCTCCGCTACGCGTCGGCTTTCAAACTTTGAGCTTGGCTTAAAAAATTACTTCTCAGCCTAATGACGTAACTACTAACTTCAATCAAAAAACCTGTTTAAAACCTGTTTGTCCAATCAAAAAATTCAGATCTCATTCAGATCTAATCTAATCTAATCTATCTACTTTCTACTTTTAATAAATATTATAATTCTACGTTTTATGTATTGTCTAACAAATTAAATTATGCCTTAAAAATTATTTTATAATATGCGGCTGAGAAGTGTCTTTTTGTGCTTTGTTCGCTATTTAAGACTGAATTACACCCACAAAAGTGGAGTTTAGCAATGACATCATCGATACTTAATTTTTTTTAAATGAGGTCGTTTCGCGTTACATTGAATGGTCACTAATAATTTCTTTAATATTATGATATTATTGATCGGGTATATATGTGGTTGGCGCCTCGTGCTAGTCTGTCTAATAAATCATTAATGGATTGAGAACTTGATTTAACAACATTATATCACTGAGATCGTTTGACGCTACTCGACTGCTTCTTGTGGCTTTGGTGTGGCTTGAAGGCAATATCCAGCCCATTTTTGATTAGAGCCAAAAATTAAACATTCGAGATGCTCATCGTTACAATGTCAAAACAATTGTTTTAAACAAATAACAATTTTTTAATTTTAACTTAATTTCTATCGTTAATATTTTAAAAATAAGTTATATCGTTCTTAAAAAACACTCGTTATAAACTTGTGTAATTTTAGTTACCAACCTGGTGTATCGACAATCAAGTCCAATTGGCCATTGTAAACAGCTATTAGAATATCGGTGCTGTTTAATAACTCTTCGACTAAAAAATTGTAAATTATTTTTAATTCAAAACATCAGGTACAGTGGTGCACTGCGTATTGACGGATTTTAGATTGTTATTATGGACCTATAAAACATAGGCAACAATATATTTTTATCACACATATATTTTAGTTTTAGCACAAAAATATTTTTTGGGGATAAATACTAATTTTAAGAATATTCAATCAGACACCAAACGTCTATAAGCCTTAACGCAGAAGCGACAATTATCCTTGTCTGGGTACTGGGTCAACGTCGCTTTAAATGCAACTAGGAACCAGACCAGCTGGCTCCTCATGGCAGCAGCACTACCTCTATTGGGTGAGAATCTGCTCTTGGGGTTGCCTCCTGTCTGGGGAAATCCATGATCAGGAACTGGATTAACAACCAGTTTCAAGACAAATGGCTGGAACAACAAGGTTGTAGACAGTCAAGGGTCTTTATAGAAGGTCCTATAAATGTAAAGAAGCAAAAAGACCCCAGGAACTAAACAGGAAGCAATTGGGAGTCATCACAGGCATCCTGACTGGACACTGAGTAGTCAGATACCACCTGCACAAACTACCGAGCATAAAGTCTGCGATGTCTCAATAGCAGACAGGACAGGAAACAGGTATCTGGAATTAAAAAAAAAAAGTAGGGTTAAAAGCTATGGGCTCCTAAAGTAAAGCCTGCTAAAACCTCAATAGCAGACAGGACAGGAAACAGGTATCTGGAATTGAAGAAAATAATGTAGGGCCAAAAGCTATGGGCTCCTAAGGTAAAGCCTCCACCAAAAGGGAATTTGCAAAATGAGCCGTAGTTTTGCCAAAGTGCATCAACATGCCACGAAATAAACTGTAAAATAAATAATCCATTTTTATAACCCCCCTTCACTCATAAACTCCGCCAATACCCACTACGCCACCTTGTACAATGTTTACCAATATTAGTTACTGGCTTCATAAAATCTTCTGCAAGATATTCAAATACTTTATTGCTTTGGGAACCCCATGATCTGGATATGTTTAGGGCATTTTTAACTTTTGTGTTCATAATTGAATCGATTATTTCATCCTCGGCATCTTTAATTAGTGCTCCTTAAAACAATATTTCATTTAATTTTATAATTTAAATCATACTTAATACATACTTTTACTAGAAAGCTCCGGCATTTTCTTTGTTTTTCTTAAAACGTTATAAAAGTCAACTCCACTCGTAACCATATCCACAATATATTCGACTTTGGACCAGAGTTTTGTAGCATTTAAAAAACTGTTTTTATTAAGAGCTTCCTTGCAGTCATTAGCCACATTTTGAATTTCATTGTATCCATTTTGATCGATTATTCCCTATAAATATAATTAATAACTCAGGTAACGACTCACCAAAAATATTACCAAGTTGAGTAAATATGGTGGCCAAGTTAATACGGAGTCTATCGGTGAAATCCAGGAATCTCCTAAGCCGATACCTTTGAATTTAATATCAAAATCTCCTGCTTTAATTGCCTACAATAAAATATAAATAATTTAATTACAATATATTGTATCCTAGAGGATAAGAATTAGTTTTATTATGTATTATTGTATGGTTAATGTTTGCCGCCCAAATTAAATAACAGTTAGAAATCGTACTTGCAAATGCTTTGGGTCATGAGCAACTTTGCAATAAAAAAATGTAATTACCGTTTTCCAGTAAAAGTAAGATGCTGCATTTTCTCATTTTTCTGCGGAATGTAAGTTAAACTTTTTTGTACATAAGTACACTGCTCGTCAAAATTAACGCATAACAAGTTAAAAAAATCTAACTCTAAAACGCCTTTACCAATCTTTATAAAATTTTGGATAAAAATACTTTTACTTATATCTCAGTTTATGTGTTCAAGGGTTTTTCGAGAAAATATCCTTAAAGGCCTTTTATTTAATAATAAAAAACGCTGGAAAAAAACTTTTATAAGGAAATTGTTTTTAAGTAAATAAAAAATATGCTGAGAAAGACCGTATTTTTGTTAGTAAACCCTGAAAATTGTACAAATCAAACAAACATTAACAAAAATACAGCGCTTCAAAGTCGTAAAAAATGACCACTTGAATGACTTTGAAGCTATGTATCTTCAAAATTTTCAAGGTATACTAACAAAAATACGGTCTTTAATAGGATATTTTTTATTTAGTTGAAAAAAGTTATTTTAAACGTTTTTTATTATCAAATATTTTCTCGAAAAAACCCTCCAATACGTAAACTGATATATAAGTTGTATTTTTATACAAAATTTCATAAAGATTGGTAAAGGCGTTTTAGAGTTAGAATTTTTTTACTTATTATGCGTTAATTTTGACGCGCAGTGTATGTAAGTATTGAACGCAATTACATTAACGCTTATAAGCAAGTATTTTGATTTAGGAACAACTGTTAATTGAAGGGGTACCCTACAAGTGCATTTTAGCATGAAAATAAGGATAACTTCACGAATTAAATACACAACTCACAAATAACTTTACTTTTTTAAAAATGTAAACAATGAACGTACACGTAGGATTTATTTATTTTTATTAAAAATAAAAAAAATTGTTTTTTCAGCGCAACCGGAATTTTGGCTTTTGAAATAAGGGAATAATACCAAACGATAATTTTTATACTTAAAACAAGTCCAAAATAATACGAATGCATAACTCAGTATTTTCTTTTAAATAAAATGATTATAATCATTTATTAATTTTTGGACATAAATAATTATTTATGTCCAAAATAATATTTATTAAATATTGTAAACCACTTATGTTTCTAAGCGATTTGCTTTTGACGCCAAAAGTTTCAAAAAACTGCCAGGTGCAAAACCTTATCGACCTGTGTTATTATTTACACTATCTCTACCTGATCTCTACTAACCTTGTCTAATAACAGAGCAATTTCAGCAGTCATTTTTCCTCCGTATGATTCAGAAAATATGTGAAGGGTACTGGCTTGAAATTCGGGATTTTGTTGGTAAAATCCTTTCAAAAACACTAGAAAATCCTTGGCGATTTGCGTATTATTCATTGCATATGCATTATTTTCTACATAGCTAAATCCACTTCCAACTGGATTATCAACAAATAAAACATTGTATCTACTTGTCCAAGAGGTATTTCTGGGCTTTAAATTAACATCCAATGGTCCTAGTGATAAGGCAAATTTAAAATTATTTTTATGAAAAAATCAATTTTTTGTTACCTAATTCGGCAAAGTTTCCATAACCTGTACTTGAAGATCCAGGTCCTCCCTGTAGCCAAATCACCAAAGGTTTTTCTGTGGCATTTTTAACAAGGGCAGTTGTATGATATAACCAATAAAATATATGGGCATCCTGTCTAACCTGGACATATCCCCAATTTTGCTCGCCTGGACCAAACCCTTCGCGACCTACATATTTAAAATACAAATAACTTTTTGCATTTCCAAATTAAAAATTGCTTAGATTTCATGTAAACAATTTTTTTATAGAAAGGCATACACAGAAGCATTTTTTAGATTTGCAAAATAAACGCTTTAGTTTAAGCAATGTCAACTCCATAATATATTACATTTTTGATGAAAGATTTGTAGCCAAGGTATTCTAGTTATGTCAGAAACATTTTATGACATTACAATTATTCAAGAAAAAAATGTTTAGGCTAAGGTTTCTCTTGTTGCATTAACATCTTGATATTTAAAATATTATCGTTGTTGTACATTAGGGTGTCCGTTTTTTACCAAGTTGATTTTTTTTCTTGCGACGCCAGCTAAATTTTTAGTCTATCGTCTAAAAAAAAAATTCAGACCAAAATAAACTCTTAATATTCATAATCCTATTCGAAATTTCACTTTTGATTTCGAGTTTATAATTCTAGATTTGTAATTTCAAATTTCAATTACCCTTTGTTTATTTCAAAATATTTAATTCAGTTTAAAAATTTGAAAAAAAAGAACACAATAGAAATATAATATAAAGCAGGCAACGAATATTTATTACTACAAAAAAACAAAATTTTTATTCTTATATTTAGATAAAAAAAATTCCCTTGTCACTTCGGGGGGCTCCCTGGTGGTTGGGGCCCCGGTCTCTGAAACCAGTAGGACCGGTGGTAGTTACAACACTGTATTTTGGAATGAAAATATCACACATGTAATCTAGACACTTTTAATAGTATATTATTAATTTAGTCTAATGTGTAAAATCATTATTTGTTTTGCATATAAGTAAAATATTTTTTTTTACAAATACGTTATACATAAAACAAATAAAATTAAATAAAAAATGGAAAAACTTAATAAAATAGAATAAGGATTAGTATTAATAATAATAATAATAATAATAATAATAATAATAATAATACTGTATTATTATTATTCTACTCCTGTTGCAATTTATTGACATTTTTTATGGTTTTCCGTATTTAATTGTAACTATATATTATAACCGCCTAGCAATAATGGAAATTAATTCATTATTCACGTTATTGGCTTTATTCTCGGGTTTTCTATTGGGAAAAAGTCAGGTTGGAACTGTTTAAGTTAGACAGTCTAACGAATGTCAGATTTTTGTCCGGGGGGTGACTATAATTATTTTTAAAATCGGAAGAAAGTGAGGTTATAATAATTGTTAATAAAAATTACTTAATTGGAACAAAAAACATATACCTAAGCTCCAGGGTTAAATGACCCATAAAAACAAACAAAGATGCAAAAAGTTTAGCTCAAAACAGCAACACAAATAATATATTCAACTTTAATATATTATGAACAATATTTATTGACAAATAAAATTGATTTTTATAAAAGCGGCTGATGGCCGAATGGGGTATGACGACAGCTTGACTTATCTGCCATGTTTTAGATCATAATTTTGACTCGGGCTAATTTAAATATTTTATTCAGTAGTATTTGACTAATTATTAGTGACTGCTTTTTCGCTATGACAATTAGTCAAATATTACTTATAATTAGTTATTTTTACTAATTTATTTTAAGAGAGCAGGGTCGTCATTCCCCGAATTCTGATATGATGCATTAAAAATAAAATTAGGGTTTATTGAATGTGAGCAACATTTTTATTTTTTTGCTCGGGTTTGAAAATCTTGTAAAGACATTTTTAGGATTTTCAGTTAAATACCAATCAACAGTCTTTACCTGCCCCTTTCTTGTAAAAACGGTAACTACATATAATAAATTTCTTGATAATAACTCTAATTTAATTACATAGATTATGTTAAGGAAAGGATAAGTGACTATGAAAAGTAAAAGTAAAATACAATCAATAGGTATTTTTTCTTATGATAAAAACAAAATAATTAATAGTTTAGAATATAGGTATTGGTATTTTTTTAATAATAAATATAAATATAATAATAATTTATTATTAATAAATAACTAAATGGATAATAAATTAATTATACCTACTTATATATATATATATATATATATATATATATATATATATATATACTTTTAAAGTATTAATAATATATTTTTGGTCATTGGGAGAATATCCCACACAAATGTTATTGTTTTTCCAACGAAAATAAAATAATAGGATACCTTTTAAAATTATTATTATTTTTTCCAAATTATTTTTTTTAATAGGCGGGAAAGTTAACTCAATTTTGTTTAAAATTGGGTATTCTTGAGTGAAGCAAAATTGAAATGGCCTATATATTTTGCATTCCACCAACCTGAAAGGGTATGATCTACTGACCCCAAGGAATCCCAGAAAATCTAACTCTACCTAAGATACATATTTTTAAAAAGGGCAAAATTTCGTACTTATAAAGTGGTAGTTTAATTCTGTATTATCATGACAACAAACAATATTAAAAAGTGTCAAATTCGTTACTTTTTTTTAACGGTTATTTATTTACAGACTTTACAGAAGCAAACAAATATACGAACTAATTAAACTATAGATGAAAAAAAACTAAACAAATATTAACATTTACACACAGGCTAAATGATTTGCATTTTTCTAAACACAACATATCAATGATATCACTGATATTCTATGATATAATATCAGAATACTCAGCGTATTGTTAAAGTAAACATCCTAAAATGCATTTATTCATAAGATAAAACATTCATTCCTAATAAATTTGAACATTCTGTCCATTAATTAATTAAAAAAAACTTAAAACAATATAATCAAGGTAAACCTATTATTTTTTAGTTTAAACTTTGAGGTTTACACTGTCATATATTTTTAAATAACAAAGGACTTTTTTCCTGGGGGTCTGTAGATCATTACCCTTTAAATGGTAAAGGAGTAAAACTTGATATTCAGCCACCTATACGAGGTAAGCTCTGGGTTGTTTCGGAGGAAAAAAAAGCGAAGAGCTGCGCAAAAATAAAACGCACTCAAAAATAAACCATTTAGCTATTTAATTTCATGGGCACAATATACGGCATACTCTAATTTTTATAATTTTTGTCAGTTCAAGATCATAACATCAGATTTTGATCATAAAATAAACACGTTTCAAATTAAAATAAAAATATTTTCGCTTCACCCTTAGTCCCCATTTTTTTTTATTTTGTTTGTTAAAAGTAAAACCCAGTAGTATCTAAAAAACTGTAAAAAATATATAATTAAATTAGATTTGAAAAAAATTATTAAAATAGAATAACATGTGTACGTTATTGGTGAAATTTTTAAAAGCGATGTTATAGATTTTTATTCATTCACATACACTATAACAACGCCTCATGAACTGACAATACAATTACGTTGCAAAATAATAAAAAAAATTGCCTAAAAATGGAATTTATACCCATATGAATTTTGGTTGCAAGTATTTGGCAACGGATTTTAAATCTAATGCTGTAAGATAGGACACAGTTCTACCACGATCGAAACACTAAAACTCATGCCCGGACAACAACTGAGCTCTGAAGCGCTGGTTTAGATGCTAGCACTAATTTTTGTCTTGGGAATGATGTGAGTTTATTAATTTGGCATATAACATATAAACCAAAACATAATAAAATTATGTGTTTACAATTTTCAAAATAAAAAAAATATTAAAATTTTTTCACACTCAAATTTTAATTTTGAATTGATTGCGATCCTAAAATTTAATAAAAAATATAAAAAAAAATTTGTACGTATGAGTAGATATAAATACTATACGTGTTCTAACCCCATTACAAAATTTAATAGACATAATTTATAAAATTTATACAAAATTAAAATTACTTTCTCTTATATTAAGCATATTTTAAACAATTTCGAAAATGGCTTAAAAATTTTATTAACCCAGTTTAACTCCAATTTTATGACGATAAATAGTTTTAAGGCGGGTTTATACAATAATAATAAAATAAAAATAAAAATTTATTAATTTAATATAAATTTTATTTTTAAAATGACAATATTGATAATTAAAAGTGTCAAATAACACAAAATCCATCATTAAAACTCATGTCTTGTAGGAACTGTATTATTTTTAAGGCACAAATACAAAACACAATAATTATTAATTATAACCTTAAAAATAGAGAGAGAAAAATTGTTTGCGCTGTTCAATCTTATTAATAATTCATAATTTATTTCATAAAAGTTAAATTCTATAAACAAGGTTATTAAATAAACACCAAATTGAGAGTTAGGGATTAAATCGTTGTATAAACTGTTTCATAGCAGAAAGTACGATTTAACTTTTATGCTTATGGACTAAATTATGAAATTAATTAATGGTATAAAGTTGTATAAACCCGCCATTTCATAAAACAATGGGCGAATTATTAGGTCCCTAGTGGTATAACAAACCCAATTTAAAACAAAATTGAAGAACTTTTATTTTTTTTTACCAAAGTATACTTAAAAACAAATTATTATATAAAATATAATATAATATAATATAAACTGTGCAAATTTGTTTTAATACATTAATAATATCGTTTTATCTTTAAATATTATTAAAACATTTTGCAAACTTTTTTATTGTTTCATACCGTATACAGCTACAAATAAAACCACTAAAACAAATATTAACTTCATTGTCATTTAAAAACTAAATTACAACTAAAAATATTTAATATCGAGTTAAACAACTGAACCTTAAAAGATTATAGGTATGTTAATTAATATTATCTTAATCTTACAAATATAAATAAATAATAATGATTCAGCCAAAATGTATTAAATTGTTTTTTAATTTAAAATTAGTTTTGAGAATTTTCATCTTGAGATCTTTAGAATTTGCTTGTAACGTGGATCTGATTATCAGACTGATAAAATATTAATACAATGTTTTTATTTATTTTGTTTTATTGTTTAAATATGTACCTTAATATCGGTACCTATTGTTTTTAATTTTAAAATAGGTTAAACCAATATTTTATTATCAGTTAATCATTAAAAAGTAAAGTAGGTTATTCCTAATATTAATTTTAAGTAGGTACCAAGGTCCAAGAAAACTGTATCTTTTACTAAAGACTTTTAGATTACACTGTATACTGGTATACGCAAAAAAGAAAACAAGAAAACTTAACTTGGAATTTAGCATTTATTACAGTTTTGGGTAGCAAGTGATCGCTTCGAACTCAAAACTGCAAAATTTACACTATTTTCGTGATAGTGCAAGTATTACAGTTTCAAGCAAGGCCGGATTAAGCTTTCGTTGGGCCCGGGGCTAATAAAAATTTACGGGCCCTTTGTAGATAAAATGCAAAAAATATTTTAAAAAACTATATTCCTGATGTAACAAAAACACTATTACTACTACACTGAAATTGTTCGGCTGAAATTTTTTCAAAGCGGGGCCCTACTGAATCGCGGGGCCCAGGGCTTCAGCCCCTTTAGCCCCCCCCTTAATCCAGGCTTGGTTTCAAGTCATGTATCTTTAAATCATAAATATATTTTAAAACTTTAAGACTGGATTATAAGAATTAGTATCTCAAACTGTAATTTTCCGCACAAGCCTCTGGAACAGGAGTTAGAGAAATAAAAATTACAGTTTTATTTAGTAAGTTGTACTGAAATTTGCTTAAATGTTGATTTTTTAACCCTTTTTAAGATTGTGTGAAGGGAATTTAACAGTTTTAGATAGCAAAATTGAATAATCATGAAATGCAAATTTTACTTGTTTTATAATATAAAATATATTTTTAAAATAGATAAATGATATTTAAATATTAATCTTTAATGATTAAATAGTAAATTTTGTAGTTTTAGAATGTCAAATATATTAAATGTATATAGGGCATTCCACTGTACTCAGGAATTTTAGTCCGGCCCTTCACAATTAAAAATTGTGAGTAAAAACCACTTGTATCCAGAGGGTGTCCGAACACCCCTTAAATTTAACTGGTGCCTGCGGGGCTGATTAATAAATAGTATTTAAAAAGTTTTCATGTTTCTAAAAATGTTTAACATTTTTCTTAAATGAATCACTGTGTAATGGAAAAAAATTTATATTGCTTTTGTTCCGAGGTTTCCCTATTTTCCTTATTAGTATGCATTATTTTTAGTTTTTAATTTTAAAAGCATCCATTAAATACTTAACAAGCCATTTAATACAAAAATCCTTACCAAAAAATTATTTAAACACAATTACACAACATAAGAAATTGCTATTAACAGTGCAAAATCTGAAAGACAAATGACCCTAATAATAATAATAGAAGATAAAACTGGCGACGTGAATTTCGGTTTGATATTCAAAAGTAGTTGAACTTGCATCATAAAAAACTGTTGTTCTTTCATTTTTAAATTTCTATGAGTAATACACAATCATAAAACTGTAAAATTTTTTAAAATAAAATGTTACTATTTTAAAATATTTTTTTAACATTACTTTTTATTTTAAATAGTAAAAATTATTATTCAGTTTTAAATTTTTTAAATTCAATTAGCAATCTTTAAAAATTACAGGTTGAATGGCAAACTATATAAATGTTGGTTCGCACTGTAATTTTTATTCGGAGAGATTAGGAATTATATAATTCCTAATCTCGCCGAATAAAAATTACAGTGCTAACCGACATATAAAGTTGCGACGTTTGCACTTTTCCTTTCGAAGCGACAGTTTTTACAATTTAAATTGTAATTTTTTCTGTTTTCTATTTTCCGTGTATTTTATAATTTGTAAAATAATATATTTCACCTCTTGTGCCAACATTTTTATGCTTTTTTTTAATTTAATATAATATCCTTAATTATACTCAATAAAAAAAAAATCAGCAAAAAAACATTTCAAATTTCCTAAATTATCTAAGAAAAACCCTTAGGGACACGTTTTCTTTTGATTATAAATTATAAAATTTTGCAAGAATTTGTTATTTTTTTAATTTTGAACTGATGTGAGGGTTCAGCCAAATTTAATTTTTTAAATTTATACAGGGTGTTTAAATTTATATAGGGAGTTTCCAATATCTTTGAATTTTGACCTAATACAGCTAAACCAAACACGGATTTGTAATCTACGTACAAAAAATAAGTTTATGAGTCCGAGCGTTTAGCTGTAATATTGTAACCTCCCTACAGTGTAATTAAAGCCTGGTATTCTCAAAGTGCCAAGTTGGTCATATATTTTTTTTATCATTTAATGTATCATTTAATCATGCAGAAGGCTTTGAAAAAGAAACCAAATCCATTTTATTTTGTAGGTTTTTATCTACTATTTTAAAAATGTTAAAAAAAGGTAAAAGTGCCAAAGCAGCTGACATTTTAATTCAGTAATAAAATAGTGGTGGTATTTTTGACATGTTGATTAAACTGTTGATTTGAAAAAATTATTAATATTAAAGAAAATAAAAAAAGAAGAGTTGCAGCAACTAAAATCAAGGAGGGTTAATCATTAACCCTCCTCCCGACGGGTAGGGTCTATGAAATAAAATTCCTTCATAACTTTTTATCATACTTTTTTTAAATGTCTTCTTTACAGTACCTTTCAAGCATATTAAAAGTAATAATTGGTACTACAAAAAATTTATTTTAAAAAATTCGTATTGTTGAGAATCGAATGTGTATTTCGCAAACGGGTTAACTAATTTCGAAGAAATTTTGTATTTGTATATATATATATATATATATATATATATATTTTGAGTCGATGATTGCAAATTTTATATCGATTTTTCCAAAAACGGATTTAATAGAGCAGGAAAATGTGCTGGCGGTTATACATGTTTGCCATATTGTTGTAGTGGAACTTCCACTCTGGAAGCATATCACGGCACTTTGCACGGAATGCGAAGCAAAGCGAATTTTAATTAAAAGGACATTAATGTATGAAGCGCCGTTTGGGCCAAAATAGAATTGTATGTAATATATATATTTTTCTGAAAATGCGTGATATATAAAAAATTTTACTCTTGATATATAAAATATTTAGCGCCGTTTGGGCCAAAATAGAATTTTATGTAATATATAAAACAATTTGCTCTTGCTATATGAAATATTTAGCGCTGTTTGTGATATATAACATAATCTTAAAAAATACGTGATATATAAAATGTTTTCACTCGATATATAAAATGTTTTCTCTCGATATATAAAATTCAGCTTACAAGAAACGTCGTGTTATAATGAGGGCGCTTCAATTATAGTTCATTGGCGTACTTGCATTTTTTGTGTTTTCACAATTTTATTGTTTATAATACTGTTTAGTTTCGGTGTTTCCTTTGTACTTAGAGTTTTAAAACCGTTTTTATTGTTATTTCAATAAGTGGTTGAGAAAAAAACAGTTCTTATAAGAATTCAACTAACAAAACCTAAAATTCAGGCAAAGTGTTAAATTTGCAATCGAAGGAAATCGTTGCTTCATAAATACACTATTGAAATAACAATAAAAACTAAACAGTATTATAAACAATAAAATTGTGAAAACAAAAATGATGCAAGTACCTACGCCAATGAACTATCATTGAAGCGCCCTCATTATAACACGACGTTTCTTGTAAGCTGAATTTTATATATCGAGAGAAAACATTCTAAATATGGAGTAAAAACATTTTATATATCACGCATTTTTTAAGATTATAATCATATATGTTATATATCACAAAGGGCGCTGGATATTTCATATGGCAAGGGCAAATTGTTTTATATATTACATAAAATTCTATTTCGGCCCAAACGGCTCTGAATATTTTATATAGGTATCGTGATTAAAATTTTTTATATATCACGCATTTTTCAGAAAAATATATATATTACATACAATTCTATTTTGGCCCAAACGGCGCTTCCTATTAATGTCTGGTGTTTTAGTATAAAACAGCACCAAGTCTTATTAATTTACAAAATTTGGACAATCGCTGCTTTAAAAAAGGACAAACTAATAATACTGCAAAAAAAATCAAGCAGGTATATTTATATCTGTATCTATTTAATTGGTTCGGAAAAAATATATTTATATAAATATATTTTTTACAAAGCAATATATATATATAGCAGTATATTATTTTATTAACCTTGTTTTTTATCTATAATTAATTAAGAAAATACGGCCGCACAGGATTGATGTTCATCGTTTCTAATAAATAAAAAACTGTTTGGTAGTTTTTTTTATAAAATTATCATTCTTCAACGGTTTTATTCGGCTACTTAAAGTTCAAAACACATTTTTTTCTACATTTAAACTAACAAAAAAATACACGTGCGTTTAATTTTCAATTATTTTGGGATACACGCTCGTTCAGAAGTAATACAAAAGCCTAAGAAACTGCATTTGAAGGCAGGCAAGGCAGGAGTAAAATAATATAAATTATTATTATGTAGACATAAAAACATATTGTTTTAACGAACATAGGAGATCGTTTAATAATAAAAAAATAGATTCAGCTTATGCCAACTAATTCTAGAAAACCATACTTTTGATAATAATTTTAAAATTTTACATGTAGAAAGTAAAGGCATAAAAGTTTATTAGAATCTCTGAAAATAAACAAATTAAAAAGAACTGATATTGTATAAAATGATCAAATTGAGACCAATAATTCACCTTTATTAAATTAATTTTAATTATTCACACAATAAGAATATATTATACTACAATAAATTATGTTTTTCCATCATTAT